TTTGTCTGTCTTTGGTATTGGTTCAAAAGTTGCTAGAGATGCATAGACACCTGAATGAGGAACTGAGGACAGGCTCCAGGGAGGAAGCTGTCTGCAAAGGAAAAAGAGGGGCAGGGAGGGGGGGGTTGGCGGCTCCCAGCACAGAGCATACTCCCTCGGCGAGCAGCCCCCCACCCCGATCAGAGCCATGCCCAGGAGTCCTCCAAAGCCGCCTTCCCTCGAAGGCAAAGAAGCATCCAATTCCCCGCCTGCCACGTGCTGTCTGCTCTCGGCAGGAGAGCGAGCAGTTTCCGTCCCTCTCCAAACCCTTGTGTTTTCCCCGTGAGCTGCTTTCGGTAAATCTTTGGATTATTTTCCTTCCTTTTGAACTTCTTTGAGCTTTTTCTTCTTTTTTTTTTTTTTAAACAAAATGAATGCACCACAAAAAAATAATCATTATTATCATCCCTCTTTCCTGGGCCCTCCGCTGCACACCACTGAGGCCGGGGTGGGGGGGTTCCTTGTCTCTCGCACTCGGTACCTTTGAGTTCATCCAGCTGTGTCTCAGTTCTGGAGGGTGTCAAGAGCCACCATGCAGTTAAGATGGTGGTTTTGTGGTGTCGTTGATGCCAGCCATTAAGGGAGGGTTTCCATTCTCCTGCTTTGGCGAGATGCGGCTGGCGGGGAGCAGGCCAGTGCTGAATGGGGAGGCCACGCTTCCAGTAGAGGACGGGCGGAGGTCCGTAGGAGGCAGGTCCCGGTCTGGAGGCCGTAAGCCTGGGGGCTGCAGTGGGAACGCCATGGGGAAGCTTGCCATGTACAGAACCCTGCCAACTCTCTTGGCAACCTACGGACAGAACAAAAGCAGGATAAAAAGGGTATAGGAATGGACACTATGCTGTACATGTTAGCTGGAGGCCACGTTCCCACTCAGAGCTGCAGGCTGCTTAGAGATGGGTAAGGGTATGGGAGGAACTGCAGTGTTTGGACACCCCCCCCTCCCCCCAAACATGTGATGAAGACAGACCCAAAGCTGGTCCTGCGCCACTCTCCGCACAGCATGCACCAAATTAGGTGAGAGAGAGAGAGCGCAGAGCATACCCGGTCATACCTTACCCTCCTGGGGCCAAAAAACAGACAGCTGCCCAAGGCTGAGGGGGAGTATTGGGACTTGGCTCCCCACTCCTTCCCTCCATCCCAACTCGGATGGGCATGGCTCCCATCCCTGCCCCAATACATGACATCAGCCACTGATGGCTCCTGGCCTGCACAGGAGCCCTGTGCAGAATGCCCTCTTCCCCAGGGAAGGCCGCAGGCAGAGGTGCAGGCATGCTACCACTACATCTTGCTCTCAAGCCTGGAGGCAGCTGCCTCAGGATTTTACCCATCAGAGAAGCTGCCTCTGATCTCCACGGCTCCTGCAAAAGCCAGCCCCTTCACTGGCATAGCACATGCCCCCTTCCTCCAGCCAGGAGCTCTAGACTGTCCCTTCCTGAGCCACTGCACTAGGTCTGAGTGGAGCCAGCTGTGGTGCACAGCTCAGGGGATGCAGCAAGAAAACAGGGCAGGGGGCTGGGATCTGACAGCAGGAGCCCTCAGCATTAGGACGTGCCTCACAGTCCCCCGCCATCTCCTTCCAGCTGGCTTTGGGCAGGTGGCACGGTCGTAAGAGCGTGGCAGGGCATGTGCGCGCTCGGGCCTCCACGGGGGATGGACGTGCTCTATGCCCCGTCAACCAGACTAGCGCTGAAGCAGAAGCCAAGTGAGCTGGGACTTCCTGGGAAAGGCAGGGAACTCGCACCATCTGGCTTGTCTGTCCTTGAGCGCTGTGTAGTGGAGCCCTTTTTTTGCTTTTTTGGGGAGGAGGGAACAGAAAGAGATGGAAGATTGGGGGACACAGCACTGTGGATGGGGGAGGGGGCGG